AGGCAGTGGCTGGTTTGGTTGTCCTAGGATGTCCTCTCTCGCCTCCAGCACCAAAAGGGCACAGACTTCACATGGACTTTAAGTGATACTACTAATCCTTCAGTTTAGTGCATCGAAAATGGGAAAGTGGTACTAGATGTCTATTTTTTGGGGCACCTGAATCACTCCGGTTGTGTCCCTCTCTAGAGCTTTGAATCCTTTAGTCTCACTCTTTGGTATCAGAAATTTCTTCAGAATACCTGAAGGCAGGCTCAGGAGGCATGTTACAGTTCTTACCACAATCATATGTGTGCTTCATAGTCTTAGAAAATATCATGTCTCTATGAGATAGAAGGTTGGTATATACTGGACAGAACAGTTAAAAGGCAGCTGAGACCTAATTTCTCAAAGCTGAGCTCCCATGGATTTTGGTTGCAGCAGTTCTGCAAACGAAGCCTCAGAAGGAGCCATACCGAGTTGCTGCTCATCTACAAAAAGTTTTAAGCATGCCTGGCATCACAGAAGAATTCTGTGGCAGAAGCAGGAATAATCTCCAGCTCTTCAGGACAGCTTTCCTCATCTTAATCCTCAGAAGATTATCCTTTCTCTCCAACGACCCTGTTGTATCTCCACTGTTTTTCTCCCTGGGAATTAACTGGGTCCCAGCCCCGTGGCTGCCATCTAGCCTCATCTAAAAAAGTCGGATTCTTAAGCCAGGATTTTCACCAAAAGCTTCTTCAACAGGTGAAACAGGATTCTCATCATCCTGATCTTTCTGGACAGCAGATGCTGTCTCACGCACCTGATAAGGCAGGATCCTGTTTACCGATTAGCATGTAAGCATGGGACACAGAACAAAGGGGACGTAAATCAAGTGGCATAGACAGCTCTTTTTTTGGCACATCCTGTTCAGTATTGGATTTTACAACCATAATACCATTTTTAAAAACATTTTTATGTGCGTGTGCGGTTAAAAATAGGCAAGTTTAAGGAGAATTTATATACTGTTTAAAAGTATTCTTTGTGCCCCAGATTGGCCTGGACCATACTATTGATCATTTTATCTAACCACAAATGTGCTCAATTTTTTATGTATAGATCATTAAACAAAACACAAAATAAAGCTTGTTGTTTGGTTAATGCTTCTAATCACTTACAGCTCTTCTCTTTGGAACTAGTCAGTTATTTGCAGTGGTGGAGCAGCGGTGGAGAACTGCTTAAACATTTTGTTTGGAGCATTATGGGGAAGGGCTGTATGTTGTGCTGGGGAAACCCTTGGATACGGTGGGTAAGAACAACAGAGGAATGCATTTGCTGGGCCGTGGGCGATGTCTGGCAAGAAATGCGTATCTGGGAATTCATTGATATTCATGTGGTGTAAAACTAAGAGATAGTGGGGAGAAGGAGTGAATGCATGGTTGGAGAAGAGTTAGCAAGAGAGAGGATTTTACACAGAAAAGAAAGAAGCCTGTGAGGAGGAAATGAGGTAGCAGGAAGTTACGTGTTAATGAATAAATAGCAATAAAGGTGTCTGACAATGAATGATCA